AATGTCACCAGCGTCGCTGGATGCATGAGCCTCTGCCTTAATCTTCTCGGCTTGCTTCTGGAACACTTCAATGAAGGTGTTACCAATAATCTTGCGCTTCTTTTCTGGGTCATCGGTCACGCCCCTCAGGCGGTCGAGGAACAGGTCGGATGCGTCAATGACTGTAAGGTTGATACCCAGACCTTCGTCCAGAGTCTTCTTGACCTGTACAGCCTCGTTGAGTCGCAGTACACCATTGTCGACCATGACGGCGTGGAAGCGATCACCGATAGCCTCCTTCATCAGCTTAGCGGCAACGGTCGAATCGACGCCACCACTGACGGCGCCAATGACTTGCCCTTTGTCGCCTACGAGCTTCCTGATGCGCGTAATCTCCTGGTCGACAAATTTGCTCATGGTCCAATTTGTGCTCGCTTGGCAGATATCGACGGCAAAGTTCTTCAATACCGTGGTTCCCTTCTTTGTGTGTGTGACTTCAGGGTGGAACTGAATGCCGTAGTACTTGCTAGTCGTGTGCGCAATGCCTGCAAATGGCGCATTGTTCGTAGTCGCAACAGTCACAAAGCCCTCGGGCATATGGCTGAGCTTGTCGCCGTGACTCATCCAGACCTCGAGGTCGTTTCCCAAGTCCTTGAATAGCTCGTCCATGTGTCCGCCGTGGTTCTCAACCTTGAGGTTTGCATGTCCATATTCCCTCTTCTCGCCTGCGGCTACTCCGGCGTTCTTGCCAAAGTGCCATGCCATCTCTTGTAGTCCATAGCATATGCCCAAAATTGGGACGCCGAGATCAAAGACGGCGTGGTCGACGTGGGGTGCGCCTTCCTCATAGACTGAGTATGGGCCACCGGAGAGGATGATACCCTTTGGTGTGAAAGGAAGATCGGCAATTTTAGTGGTGCATGGCAGCATCTCAGAGTAGATGTTGAGCTCACGGAGTCGGCGTGTGATCAAATGTGTGTACTGTGAGCCAAAGTCGAGAACCAAGATGGTATCGAACGTCTTGTGGGGAGGAATTGGGTCGGAGTTGTCGGTCGCCATTTTGAAAGAAGACGTACACTTGAAAAGCGTGTAATTTGAGTATGAAAGAAAGTGTTGACGAGAAGAAGAAAAAAAGTTGAAAGAAAGAAGACGGGGTATCTAGGGAGGGAAACCAGGCGCAGGAGGGGCTCCGTGACTCTCGCAAATTTTGGCGGGGCCCAAAATTTCGCTATCGATAGCGTCGCCGACGCAGCGCGAAAGTCGCGTCGCTCGAATTCTCCACTCATCTCAGCTCAGTTGGTAGCGAATTTGTATACTGCACACTCAGAACATCCAATGGCCAAGAGAAAGTCTGAGAGAGATCCTGAGGATCTGCCTGATGCGCCGGAGAAGCGCACGCAGCAAGATGGCGACGACTCTGGTAGCGACGAGGTATGCGCTTCGGTCGATTCTTCTTTTCGTAACATGGCAAGCTAACCGCTGCATGCTAGGAAATGGACATGGTGAATGTCGATTTCGAATGGTTTGATCCGCAGCCAGCTGTTGACTTCCACGGGCTTAAGAACCTGTTGCGCCAACTCCTCGACGTCGATGCGCAATTATTCAATCTCTCAGAACTCGCCGATCTCATATTATCGCAACCGCTCCTAGGAAGTACCGTCAAGGTTGACGGCAATGAGACGGATCCATACGCTTTCCTTACAGTCTTGAACCTGCAGACACACAAGGTACGTATGCGCCTTGTCAATTTGAGAAAACCGGCACATCTAACAAGCACCTGCAGGACAAGAAAGTAATTAGCGATCTGACATCCTACCTATCGAAAAAAGCCTCCTCAATCCCCACTCTCGCGCCACTGCTCGCCGAATCTTCTACGGCGCAAGTCGGTCTTATTCTGACCGAGCGCTTTATCAACATGCCACACGAGGTCGTGCCCCCGATGTACGCCATGTTGCTTGAAGAGATTCAATGGGCGGTCGAGGAAAAGGAACCCTACACATTTACCCACTATCTCGTGCTCTCAAAATGCTATTCAGAAATTCAATCGCAATTACCAAGCGGAGATGCGCCACCGAGCAAGAAGAAGAACAGGAAGGCCGACGTTGGCCAGGAGACGTTTTACTTCCATCCCGAGGACGAAGTGCTACACAAGCATGCGGTGGGCTTCACGGACTTTGATTATGATACCCCGGTAGACGAGGGTGCGAGCGACAGTAAGAGGGCGTTTCAGGAATTGGGAGTCAAGCCCAAGGGACACATGGTGCTAATAGAGGCGGATAAGTTCAAGGGTGCTGTTGAGGCTGTCAAGACCTACCTAAGTGGTCAATGATATCTTTGATGCTCATGCACGATGCATCCAACGAGAGCCGTAGAGCGAAAGATGCCGTGATTATCGTAACGTGTACCAGTAATAGAATCGCGGCAACACCTGCAACCAACACAAACAAAGGGTGACTCTAACTAGTGTTACATTGCAAGGACACAAGCCGAATCTATGTGAATCAAACCGTAGGAAATTGTTGATGCTCGCTCCTATACACACACAAGTCTCGACATCCGTGCGCCTCTACTTCAAAAGTTACTCCGCTTAACCAATTACAACCTTACCCTCCTCGGGGAAGTCGTACGAGGGGACCTCGAGGTTGAGCGGGGCAGGTCCCTTTCTTATGCGGCCAGAGATGTCGTAGTGGGATCCGTGGCAAGGGCAGAACCAGCCTCCAAAGTCGCCAGCCTCGCCAATGGGGACACATCCAAGATGGGTGCAGACACCTGTTGCTGTTAACTCCAATCTCCATCTGTGCGATTTGCGGTGTAACGTACCCAACATGATCAACCATTCGGGCTTCTGGACACGGGCAGAGTCGGGCTGGGGGTCACGGAGAGACTCCCACTTGGTATCTTCAGCCTCCTTGATCTCGTCCTCGGTGCGGTGTCGGATAAAGACGGGCTTGCCTCGCCACTTGATAATGACCTGCTCTCATCAGCTTCCGATCGTCGGGTAGTCATATGATGTCGCAAAACATACGTTCTTGCCCTCGGGAATGGCGGCGAGATCGATCTCAACCTTAGCTTGTGCCAAAACATCGGCGGAGGCAGACATGTTGACGAGGAAGTCTGTTGAACGATTGGGTTAGCCGTTCGGTTCTCCATCAATTCGCGGACGCATATCATCCGAAAAATAGCCAATTGCTCTCCCACAACTCCGAATATGCCGTATCAATTCCACCGAGCAATTTTCATCCTTCCATTGGGTAGTCGCGGTGCTGGTGACATACCCTGTACGGTCGCCTTCGCGCCAAGCGCACTCAGCGCACCCATGGTTCCGACCATGAAGTACTGGAACACCTTGGGTCCGGTCTCTCCACCCTTATTCCTGTACGCAGCAAACGAGGGGATCTTGGTCGTCTCCGGGGTGCCCTTGAAGGGGCTATCGAACGAGGAAGCCGAGGCGTTGCGGGTCTGCATGGCGGTGCAACCGGCCGCCCGGGCAACCGGCAATTGGTGAGCGGTCCATGAGCGTGCGACGGCACGGGCAGTGTTGGCGAGAGCGGGCATCGTGGACACGAGTGGGCGGGGGTTGTGGTCGTTGATGGAGAGGAGCTTGGGTTGACGATGTTGAAGTTTTGGCTGGTTTGGCAGGGAGCGTTATGTCAGGTGTCTTCTGATTGGCCAGAAGGTCTCGTGGCCGACGAACACCATCCAAGCGTCATCGCCCGAACACCACCACGGCAGTGTAGCAGCTGGGTTCTCGGCTGGGCTTGCTTGATACATAACATTGGACATGCGATCTTATGTTTCCTGGATATCAACCCTATATTGTGATTTTCTGGCAAAGCATGCCATGGTATCACCATTTAATCTACCCGGCTCCCGAACTGTAATGTCTCTTTTCTTAAAGATCATGTATTCACTCTCACTACCATGGATTAAGTTGTAGATCAAATGCACAGACGATTGACTCATCTGAAATGAGTGAGAGCCTTGGCGACTGCCTGGCTTCTAGTTTGTGATCTCCATCCACAGAATTATGCCTTTGCTCCTTTACTGCTTTCCTCGTCACTGACAATTCCTTCCTTCTCACCCCTTCTCACAGGGTGCTTGTCAGTATAACTTTCTTATTTAGAATCTATTTGACTTATTACCTTGTCTAACGTCACATAACAACTTTCGAATAACTTGCAACCATGTCTAACAACAAGAACGCTTCCATCACTTCCTACTTCAAGCCAAAAACCGGAGACTGTGATCAAGCGACCTCCAAAAAGCCTACAAAAGACGAACCCAAAACCCTACCAGTAGCAGAAATCCCAGCACCCCAAGATACCAGCAAAGATAAAGGCAAAAGACCACTATCCACATCCTCAGCCCTCCTCCCCTCAAAACGACAAGACACCAAGGCCACTCCTACCCTCGCCCCTCTTTCCTACAAAGACCTCCCCCCAGCCCCTCCCTCCACAGCCTCCACAACCCTCTCCCTAAACCACCACACCGGCTCCCTCTTTACCGCACCCCCGCGCACCTTGCTCCTTCATGCCTGCAACACCCAAGGCTCCTGGGGCTCAGGCATCGCACTAGCCTTCAAAAAGCACTATCCCAACGCATACACCATCTACCACACCTTCTGCACCAAAGAACATTCCTTGAAAGCCGGGAACCCGGTGCCAGTCGGTACAACGCTGTTGATTCCGCCGGTGGACGGTGACAAGGGCCATTGGATTGGGTGTCTGTTTACGAGTCGGAGGTATGGGAAGGGCAAGGATGGGGTGGCTGAGATTCTGAGGAATACGGGGAGGGCGGTTGAGGGGTGCTTGGGGTTGTTGGGGTTGCTGGGGGACGAGGTGCGTAGTGTGAGGATGTGTAAGATTAATAGTGGGAAGTTTGGGGTGCCGTGGGAGAGGACGGAGGAGGTGTTGCGGGGGGTTGTGGTGAGGGAGGGGTGGGTGGGGAGTGTGGAGGTGTGGAATACGGAGGTTAGCTAGGGGGATGGATCCGAAGTGGTTGATAGAAGTGGGTTGAGGAGTCGGTGGAGCTTCAAGCCATACTATCCAATTTTCTCAAGTAGTCGGTTCTAATCTAGCATCATACCCAGGCCACGCAGAAGATGCAGTCTGTGATAGTTTAATTTATATTGCGATCCGGTAGAACGGATCTTTCATGTTCGTTCGGGCATAGTCAAACCCCCATATCGAATTCCGTCAACTCGTCAAGTACCCTCGGCATGGTATATCCTGCTGAACGCCAAATGCAATGCAAACAATTCTTCTCCCCCAGTCCTGAATCAGCTCAAGTTACTTGTTACCGTTAATAGCTGTAAAACCTCCTGTCGGCCGCCTAACTACTGGGCTGGCAGGCTTGTCCTCGGTCGCTGGGGGCTGACTTGGTGGACCGCGCATCTCCATCTCGATTTGCATGGCTGCAGCATCTTCCTCTGGTTCACTGTCCGCAACACGGTTTACTCCCTGATCGACTTCCATGGCATCGGGTGTCTCCTCTGGCTTGTCCGGCGACTGCGAAGCCGTGACGGCACCATTCTCAGGCGTTTGTACCTTGTCTGCGGCATCCCCCTCCACCATCTCTACAGGGGCACCCAGTTTTGTCTGACCATTTGCTACAGGATCCTTCTTGCCTTCCTTCTCCTTCCTCTTCGCATCTTCCTTCTCCTTTTCTTCTATCCTCTTCTTTACAGTGCCCCATGTGCTTGTCTTAGGTGCGACATCGACCAGAAACTCAAGATTGTCGGTTTTTGCTACGGCGCTACTGACATCACGGTACTGGATGTTGCGACGAGGCTTGCGCTCAGCTTTTACGACATTGTAGGTTGTGGTTGCGAGGTGCTGGATGAACATTTCTGTAGCGAGTGCGATGGCAAAGGCAGCGTTCTTGGAAGTTGTGATACGCTCTGGGTCCGCTTGAATGATCTTCTGCACGCGTGCCACTTGTGGGAGAGTTAGTGGATAAGGTCGTATGAATAGCAATCAAGTATTCTACTTACACGGAAGCGACACATGGCCGGTAATCTCCTTGTTGGGCGCAATCGGAGTGTTATTGTAGGGCATGGTGGAGGAGGGTGCTTTGCTCTGGCTGTATGTGCTGGGGATTGTTAGGTGGGTACTTGTAAGTTGGTGCGCGATTCCAGCAGAGATTCGACAATGCGGCGGAGGCGAATCGTATTCAAGATGTTGATTGACGCGGTCAGGTCGCGCAAAATAGTCGGGTTGAGGATACAGTCGCGTACGGTGGTTGTTTCGAGGTGCGGGTGAAGACCAATCCCCACACCCCTGTCTAACTTTGGACGATCGTTTACTGGGGCCCGGGGTGACGCGGACACCAACCGTCCTCACCTACGTTCCCTACGGATATCTGACATTCTCCAGCTTCATACAGCTGTTCAATCTCTTGCAATACTGATTTGTCACGTGTCATTGCTCTGTTTTCATTCTGTGCTGAATCGAGCATCCATCGCAGTACCGCGAGGGTGTACATCAATCATGAAGCTTTCTATTGCTAGTTTGCTTGCCGCGACTGTCCCTGCCACCTCATTTTCACAGGTGCCATTCCAAGAGACACCCGATGTTGAAGGTTTCCAGTTGTACCAGAGTCAGTTCTCCGAACACCATGCCATCCGCGTCAGAGAGCAGCAAGACGACACGATTTGCAACGCTCACGGTAAACAATATACTGGTTGGCTAGATGTCGGCTCAAAACATATCTTCTTCTGGTACTTTGAATCACAAAGAAAGCCGTCCGAAGATCCGCTGTTGTTATGGTTGAGTGGAGGCCCAGGTGCGTCTGGCATGCTTGGAATGATGGGTGAGTTGGGACCATGCATGATCAATGAACACGGTAATGGCACTGTCTTCAACGAATACGGGTGGAGCAAGAATGCCAATATTATCTTCGTCGACCAGCCGGCTGGCGTGGGCTTCAGCTATGTTGACCCAGGCGTCCCGCTTCCGGCTACGAGCTTCACAGCGGCTGAAGACATGCATCATTTCCTGCAGCTGTTCACCAGCGATGTCTTCCCAAGCCTTTCCGGAAGAGACTTCCATATCACTGGAGAAAGCTATGCCGTAGGTTTCTTGCACCATAGTCAAGTGTACAAGCTGACTATCACCAGGGCCACTATGTTCCGGCACTCGGCGCGCAGATTGTGTCTCAGAACCTCCTGTACCCAAAGCGACCGCAAGTCAACCTGAAATCAACATTCACCGGCAATGCATATGTCTCGCCCAAAGATACTACTTTTGGCTATTGGGAGACTCTTTGCACAATGAATCCCGGTGTTGAGAATCCCGTGTTCAACCAGACACGCTGCGATATCATGGCAGCAAACCTACCTCGCTGCATGGAACTCACTCAAATCTGTTATGACCACCCGGATCCAGCCATATGCATCGCTGCTGAGACAGTATGCGACGAGGGTGTCATACAATACTACGACGGCGAGTCTGGCGAAGGTGGTCGCAATCGCTACGACATCACAGACGGGTGCGAGACGAAGGACGAATTGTGCTACCCTGAGATCCCGAGGATACAAAAGTATCTCAATCTTCCATCAGTTCGACAAGCTCTTAACGTGCCTAAAGCTGCGGGCAACTACTCAGTCCTATCTCTGGACATTACATGGGCCTTTGCTCTGACTGGGGATGGTGTTCAGAGCACACAGCCACAAGTTTTGTACCTTCTTGAGCATGGTATCGACGTGCTTTTCTACCAATGCAACCTTGATCTTGCGTGTAATACTGCGGGAAACCTGCAGTGGGCCAACACAATGCAATGGAAAGGCCAGCCAGCGTTTGTTGCACAACCGAAGAGAATGTGGAAGAACGATGGAGAAGAAGTAGGGTGGTTCAAGGAGGTAAGGACCAAGACCGCAAGCGGCAGGGAGACGACCTTTGCTTTTACAACGGTAAATAGAGCGGGGCATCTTGTTCCATTTGACAAGCCCAAGGAGGCGTTGGCCCTCGTAGACAGATGGTTGGAGAAGCGGAGCTTTGCCTGAGTGTCGCGTGTATTGATTGTAGTAGTTGCCATGTTCCAAATTGCGCTTGCCCGAAAATTGTATGTAATCGCATGTTACACAGTATGCAAATGTGGTAGTGGTCTGTAGCTGGTGACAGACATGGTGGTTAGCTGGTTTGCAGAGATGGGTTGATGTGGGTAAAATGACGAAAGCGAGCTCCTTCACCAGTGCGCAATCGCAGCAAGCTCGGGATAAGCACACGACAACCCCAGCTCCGTGATCGCTATACTGTATGCAAATTTACAATGCAGGCACCACATCGGCCATTTACATGTCATCATTCGTATCGCTTTGGGCGCCCAAACATGCGGTTCGTCTCCACCGATGATATCACTATAACACTACGTCATCGCTATGTTAGTTTTGCGGGCAGAAGAAACCCTTCATAAGGAGAGGGGAGAACTCACCCTCAACATCATCATCCGCACATCCATTGCAATTTATCTCCTCTTCACTTAACCCATCTTCCAATCCAAATCTTTTTCCCACATTTCATAACCCACATACCCAACATGTCTGGAAACTCAAGCGTCGGCAACAGCAACGTCTACGAGGCTGGCGACCAGGTCACCAGGTCCAACGCCGAGATCGAGCAGGAGAAGAAGGAGAACAGGTTTCACGAGGGCAAGGAGAACTCCCACAAGGCTCTCGACTCAAGTATGTGCTTCCTTTGTTTATTGCATGTGTTGGTGCACGTTTGGCCGTGCTGGGCAAGGCTTGGGCTGAACCCAACAATGATTGTGTCAGTAAACGTATGCTAACAGCGGATGGCAGAGGATGAACGATCAATTGCCAACAAGCTCGAGCGCGAGGAGAAGCGCGAGAAGGAGGGTGAAGAGAAGTCTCTCGAGGACCTGCAGAGGGAGAAGGATGCTACCCTGCCTGCACGCGCACACGGCAACGAGCCCTCAAAGGGAGCCAAGATCGACCAGGAGCTGAGGGAGGAGGATGAGGCCATGCTCAAGAAGAAGGGCGCTGCCTAAGTTTGTCGCTGTAAAAGACGATTTCGATACCCGCACTTTTTCCACGCGCCTGCCTGGAGTTGGAGGGATGTATGCATAATGACTCGGATTGACGATAAAACGTCTCCACGAAAGCCTGGAATATGGCTGAGACATGAATGAAGATATGTACACCACCAAACCATTTACTTTTATATGAAGTTGCGACGTGATGCGGCTCAAACTATCTCGGTGTGATGTATGCAGAGCTCCCCACATTGCCGTGCTTGACTACCCCTCCATGCACTGTTCCTGACTCGTGCAGCCTCGGGATTGCCGCCGATATCCATGGCCATTATGACTTGCGCCCGCGTTATCAACCCCGAATCGTAGACTCCACACTTCTTCACCCATCAATTGCTGTATTACAAAGCATTGCGACTTACATGCCTGTTCTGTCGCCACCTAAACTTTTCTTCCGCACTGCAACTGCCTTTGCCCAAGCCCCATTACGACCCCGCATCGTCCCTTGCAGTACACAACTACAGAGCTATCTTCAACATCACACTGCCAAAATGTCGACCAAGATGGCCGGGCGCCTCAAGGGCAAGACAATTGTCATCACCGGTGCATCTTCTGGCATTGGTAGATCAACAGCCCTCGAATTTGCCCAGACACAGCCAGACGACTTGAAACTCATCTTGACTGCACGGAGGGAGGACTCATTGAAAGAGCTTGCGCAAGAGATTGGTGGGTTTGCAAAAGGCGTTAAAGTCCTGCCAGTCAAGATGGACGTCAGCAAGCCCGATGAGGTCCAAAGCTTTGTTGGGAACCTTCCTCAAGAGTTCAAGGACATCGATGTACTAGTTAACAACGCGTGAGCTGCCCCATGCATACCAGGGCCTTTCTCTGCAGCTAACATGATTGAAGTGGACTCGTAAAAGGCGTTGCCCAAGCCCCTGACATATCCCCAGCCGACATCGATATCATGTTCAGCACAAACGTAACCGGTCTGATCAACATGACGCAAGCCATCCTTCCCATCTTCAAGGCACGCTCCACCCCCTCAGGCGATATTATAAATATTGGTTCTGTTGCCGGTCGCGAGCCCTACCAGGGTGGATCTATCTACTGTGCGACCAAGGCTGCAGTCCGGAGCTTCACAGACGCCCTACGCAGGGAACTGATCGCAACAAGGATAAGAGTCATAGAGATTGATCCAGGCCAGGTAGAAACTGAATTTAGCGTTGTAAGGTTCGGCGGAGACCAGGAAAAGGCCAAGAAGGTATACGAAGGAGTTGAGCCTTTAACACCTGATGATATTGCCGAGGTTGTCGTCTTTGCTGCCGGTAGGAGGGAGAATGTGGTACTTGCTGATAGCTTGATATTTCCAAACCACCAGGTGAGTCGGATTGAAGACCTGTAAAACAAGCGACTGTTTCACTAACATGATATAGGCGGCGGCTACAGTTATGCACCGGAAAACTGTTGGCCAGTAATCTCGATCGACAGCATGTACATAGAGATCGATGATCTGTATGCAGACATGGATGATGTGTCACAAATTCGACTATTGCTATGAAGAGTATATGTGCATTGAGTTTGCCATCTGCTGCGGGTTAACCACTCGTCAACTCAATAGCAATAACTTTCATTGTAGTCAAAGAGTCTCATTTTCGCTTACTACAGCTTCGTCCACCGCTGCGACCACCATCGCGCGTGATCAGCACGCGATCGGATTTTGAATTCAACAGTGCCGATGATGACGACATTGGAATATGCAAAGACAAAAAGTGTAAGTTGGGTTTCCTCGTCAAGGAGAGAAATCCTGCGGAATGATGTCAGAAAGCAGCCAGCAGCACTACTGCAAAGTGAGGCTGGTCGCGGTTCCTTGAACCTATCCGAACGCTTCAGGTGTTTTGGGAACCACGACGTAATAGGGCGATCGAACCAGATTACCGAGCACTCATCATCTATCAGACCTTGATATGTCATGGCAGCGCTAAACAATTGAGATGTACCATAGTGCGCACATCAAAACTGTCTTGCAAGCACAACATGCGACACATTACTTGTTATGTACAAAAACCAAAGTGTTCACCAATACAATTAGTAGCTTGAATCTATTACCCCAACCGATCACTATCCGCCATCTATGGTCCATGGCCATATCTGGACGCTTCTGGGGAATCCCGAACCAAGGTTCTCTGTTGCAAACACTACCGGACGCGCGGGCAGCCTCGTCGATCTACGGGGTAGATGCGTGGGCGGCGACAATCATTTGGCGTCGTGCTCGGACCTCACGACCCAACGCATGGTGTTCGCTGCCAGACATATCCCATTGTCTTGATTCGTTGGACGTAATTCGCGAACGGGCATTTTTGTCGCATGTCACAGCTGTGATTTGCGAGAGTACTTTTAGTCTTCTTTATTCGGGTTGTGCTGTTTGTCGGACTTCCGAAGCCTAGGTGCACCCGCGCCCTTTCCCACACCAGCCGGCACTCACGGGAACTTCATCAAATGTTAATCTTACATCATCCTTCATCATGGTATGCGAACGGCCTGGTGAGACAAGCCAGTGGCTGAGTCCGTTTGCGAGTGAATTGCTGTTTGCTCTCGTCAGCATAAAAGCGTTTGCTTCTGCGCCAGAACACAATGTTCTTATTCGCGACAAATGTGTCGATAATTGACGCGACAGGTCTCTGTATAAACTGTTTGCGCGCGCGTCCAAGACCCAGCCAGTTTCATCTCCCTTGTAGGAAACCTATTGCGCACGTACCATACTTGGTTGAAGCCCAATAGCTTGGGCGCCAAGACCATTAACCGTGGGTTTCCATTTCACTGTCGCACACGTGCGCTCGTGATAAGGGTGGTGAACGTTGGCTTGGGATGCCGGTTTCATTCATATCTCGGCGCAAGAGCCTTTGTTTTGTTCTCTTGTCGACGGCTTTGTCCGACTGCCTTCGCTTTCAACACACGCAACCTTCACTAATACGCCCACACACACCCGAAAAAATTCTTAAATTCAAATATAGCAACATGACTTCACATGGGATCGCTACCGGTAATGACCGGAAGTTCAATTGGGATGATGATGACGATGACGACTTTGATCTGGATACTTGGAAAGCCACTGTTGATACTTCTTCACCAAGTGTTGACGAACTTGGCCCACTTCAACTATCGCGTTGCGAAGAGAGTATGGAAACTACTTCATCGTATACATCAGAACACGACACCGATGGAGACGCACATTTGGAGCCTTTGACCTCGCATGCCACCAATATGGCCCTTGACCAGTCACTGGATATTGACCTAGAGGACGGACACGCACCTGAGCTAGAAGCTGTTGAAGCATCGTCGGAAGCCGTATGCAGCAACATTATCAACATTATTACGGAAGAAGAGATTAATTTCGCACGTCATGAGTACCTTACTCACGCTATTGGTATATACTATGACGGCAAGGACGAGGTTGATGTACCGGCATATCCCGAACTGAGCTCTTACAATGGTCAACGGTACCGATATGCAAAGGCATTCCAAAATGTTAGCCAATTGACTGGAAGGAAAAAAGCACAAGTATATCGCCATTCACCATTGGTGTTTGTGACAGGGATTGAGGAAGCGCATTTGATCGGCAACAGAAGAAGGTACGAAAACATCTATAGAGAGGAAGCAACAGAAAGCCAAAACATGGACTTGTATGAGCCACCAGAGCTGCAGGAGCCGCAGCCGGATTTCAACATCATCTATGAAGAAGAGGAACAGCAGAATGCAAATGAGCAAGTTGCGCCACGGAGAACACCAGCTCAAGAACACTTTTCGAGAGACGAGCTAAAGGAGTTGATCGGCATGTGGAAAGCACAACTAGAAAGGGATGGCGCCGAAGAATCTGAAGAGGAAGAGGAAGAAGAGGACTCAAGTTCCATCGATACATGGGAGAAGAGCGACGAAGATGAAGAAGAAACATTCGAGCCACTTGAAACCGAGCTTGATGACGAGAACATGTTCTCCGTCGTTCGACCCCTAGAACCCAGAGCTTCCACCCACAACGAGGAGCTCGACTTCAACGACGTTGTTTTCTGCGCTGAATCTGAATACGATACTGGAGGCCGCGACGAAGGATACATGTCTTCATCTCCACCGATATCACCTGATGTAGGCACCTGTATTGATGGGTGCGATTGGCAAGCGCAACGTGTCGAGGCTTCGGTTCGCCCAAAAAGGGCGGTACGCATCGACTCTATGGATGCACTTGATACTCTGGCGACTATTGAGGAGTACGGTGCATCGGATGATGATACTTACGACGAAGAAGAGAAGGCGACAGAGAAGGCGAAAAGGAGGCAAGATAAGGCCGAAATCGACGATCGCAACGACATTTTATTGGATACTGACAATCACAATGAGCCCGCTATAACAATACAGTCATTCAACGAGAAAGGAGAAAACTGCAGCACTTCTGCTATTGAGGCAGCACTATGGAAAGAGCTAAGCAAGGACCACTCTGTCTCCCATCTCACTATCACACCTTCAACCTGCCCCGAGCAAACAAAACAGCAACACCAACACCAACACCACCACCACCACCAAAAACAACAACAACAACAAACACTTCCCGCTGCCTACATCAGTAGCGTTCTCACCACAAGCTTCCTTTACATCAGCATTCTAACTGCTGGAGCCGTCATCAGAGGCTCCATGAGCGCCGCCACCCCTTGCGACACCTGAGCACCAAAGTTGGACTGAAAATCGTGTAATTTCCACCACAGCAATTCTTGGCATTTTCCTGCAATGGCGTTTTATACCCCCTCTGATTACTTTTTTGATTTTCATGTTCTCGGTTTTCCATTATCGAATTTCAATTCTTTTCCAATACGGGTTCGACTGTACGAACACACATACACAAGTCACCAACACACGCGTATGTTGGCAGAACTCGAACATAATTCCAGACAGTTTGTTATCAAAACAAGTGTGGTAGATTTAAACATTGATTTGTAATTAACTCTTACGAGCTTCTCTCGATCTCCCCCCCCCCCCCCCCCCAAAGAAAAAAGGATGTTATAAATCTAAACTTGAATGAGTGATTCGGATATTCTCTAGAAAAAGACAAAAATAAGAGAGAGAGAGAGGAAATATAGTATGGTTGTCTTAGTCTTCCCTTTCCCCTTTCCCGCCTTAATTCTAATTGCCCAAACATCGAAATAAATTAAGCTTCCCTAAGTGCTGACGGCGCTCAAGACCCCCATCCATCCATCCATCCATCCAACAAACAACCAGCAAAAATTCGCTCCAGCCAAGTAGTAGCAGTAGAGAAAAAAAGACAAAGAATGGGTAAACTACTACTCTCTTCCAGACATCTTCTTTACACATGGACCGCAATCTCAGACGTCATGTACTGTCTAATATCGCCGATGAAGAAGCTCAGAACGACGGTTGCACCACCAAATGCGATCGAGACGTAGTACGGCAGCTTGTACGACTGGGCCCAGGCCTCGCGCGAGGCGGCGATGATGATCGGGTAAGCGTCTCGCTGGAGGACTGAAGGGTCCGTAGCCAGGATCCTCCTTACCTCTGCGAATTGGCCGTTGGCGATGCCCAAGACGATGTTCTTGATGGCCTCGCGACCAGCGGGGATGAGCGGGTTGACGATAGCCTGAAGAGCAATGGTATTCTGTGCCATGAGACCCAGGTACTTTGTTGCTTGGCGGGTCATGAGGTTGATGTAGATGGAGTAGCCGATTGCGCCGCCAATGTAGCGGATGCTGAGGGTAAGGGCGGTGACGGTGGCGATGTACTCGTCTGGAGCGGCGATTTGGGCAATGACGGTCGAGGGGATGATGACGGCGCCAATGGCGGTACAGGCCACGGAGGCGATGGCTACGACTGCGCCGACGTTGTGCGGGGTGTTGATAGAGAGGAGGGCTGTGGCGGCGGTTGCGACGGAGGTAACGAATATCATGACTTCGCGGAAGCGGCCGCCGGTGAGAGGGATTAGGAGTAAGCCTAAGAAGGCGCCGCCCATGATGCCGAAGCCGATGGGGAGGGAGCGGAGGCCGTTTTGTGTTGGGTCATCGCCTGTGGTTTGTGTTAGCGGCGGATACAACTGCGGGTTGCGGGTGTCGTTTGCTTACCGTAGACGTTGAGGACTTGGGATGGGTAGATGAGGATCAAGGCGAAGAAAGTGCCACCACTTATGAAGATGAGGATCAGGATGACAATCATGGTTCTCTTGGCTTTGGCAAACATTCCTCGTGGAACCATGGGATGGTCGGCGCGGAGCTCCCATACGATGAAGGCGGCTATGAGAACGAGTCCAAGAATAAAAGGCACGAGGTTGTGAACGCTGCCCCAGTTATACTAGAAAAGCGTTAGCATCATCTCGTGTGCCAAAAGCTTGGTTGAACGAACCTGCACTGATCCCCACTGAAGTCCCATCATGAAGAGGGTGATACCACTGGTACTCAGGAAACCACCGACGAGATCGAGTTTTGCGATGACATCGCGAGCAGTGTTATTCTCTGTAAGGCGAGATGGACTCCTGTAAAAGAAGACGCATAGTAGCAGCCCAACGAAGTTCCATACACCAACGAAGATGCCATTGTAGCGCCACCCAGCGCCATGCTCGGCAATGGTTTGAGACCACAGGACGGCCGGGCAGAAGGGAATAATGGTGATAACGACAAAGCCAATATACTTGGCGCGATCCTTGACAGGAACGACTTCGGCTGTGCCAGAGAGTGAGATCATCTCGTTGAGACCCGCACCAATACCTGAAAAGACCTGGCCACCTGGAGTTTGTCAGCGAAAGCTGTTAGACCATGTGAATACGCTACCCACCAATGGCGATGTTCATGTTCGAGGCAGTCGATGTAACAATGGCACCGATAACCAATGCCAATTGTCCAGCAATGGCAACCCTTTGCCTTCCAAAGAGGTCGGACAGCGCACCGACAAAAGGCAAAAGGGCGGCAAGCGGAATGAGATAGGCGATCATGAACCATGAGTATCGATCCGCTCCTCCGAGATCTCTGGTGATAAACGAGATGATGGAGCCAAAGATGAAGAGGGGAATCTGAGATCCAACCCAGAGGAAAACCATGCATACCAAAGTTGTGAAGAGCTTGAAGTTCATCTGCAACTCTTTGTCAACACCTCATGTCCGCACGACCGCATTCGTCAGACTGACCTTTTCGTGGACGATTACACCACTATCGCCGCCGCTGCCGACCTGCGACAGTTGAGGTTTGTCTTGTTCATGAACAGGCGTCTGTGAGGTCACCATCTCAAGCGCATTGCCATCGTGTTTCTCATAATCCTGAGAGCGGCCGCTCGATGCAGTTCTTTCGTCCATTTTGTTGAAGGTGTGGGGCCTGGAGAACATCTTGCCACGGCAAGAAGAGGAGGCGTAGGATAGTTCAAGTAGTCTGAGCTGTCCCCCAGACCCAGACCCTAGTGAGCTGTGGTGTTACCCAAGCGTCACACTAGCTCCTATGTCATAGCGAAGTTTGTCGCGTGGAAGCCTCTTAAATCGAAAGGCCAATATCACATGTAATACCACCGCAATGCAGGGGAATGGGCGGGGGGCGCGCAGTGGAACAAACAAGGACTCGAGGGCCCCTCAATCCCCCAAAACGCCGAAATCGACCTTGGTATTGCCCGTTCGGCGCCTTCAAGGTCATAGCGGAGTGGATGGCGGGATGCTGGTTGCGGAAACCTTGTACCCCTACCACACTTGACCCGCTAGCGTCAGGGTCATAAACCTTATTTGCTCAGCCAAAGCCAGATTCCAATCTCTTTAATTTGTTCATTTCTGCCATTACCCTGCGACTTGATGATCGCTGATCCAGACCACGAATGCTTGATTTTCGTTCGTACAGTCGTTCTTTACAGCCCTGCGCTTACTTGTACGAGTGAAGGGAAGCAGGAATAGCAGCATCTCACTTGAGCCGTGTGTAAGAAAACGGGCCGACGCTCTCTGAACGAATAAGGCTAGGAAGGAAAGGGATGCTACTGCGATTGGGGAATGAGCTGGATGAGGATGTTGTCGCAGACATGTATGATGCGCAATCTGCTGGGGACTGCAGATCATCTCTGCAAAGTGTACGTAGTACATACTCACTTCTAAGCCACACCGATGGGTCAATATGAGGCAGAAACATCCCCGAGAGACATCACGTAAGTAAGTATGTACATAGAGTTTTACATACCGGGCCGTTGGTTAAAAAAAACATTTGGCTCACAACAATTGGTGCACATTTAGATGCAACGTTCTTTATCGCTGCTCAATTACGTCTGGCCATTAGATTGCAGTCTTGATGAAACCATGGAGCATTCGAATACCGTTGAGAATCCCTCCAAGACCATGTTCTTTTGTTGAGGGAAGATTGGTGACGGCATCCCGAAGTAGATTTGTATAAGAAGTTTAGCTAGTTGGATTCGTCGTAGCGTTTCCCCTTCAACACGGCTAGATCGACGGTCCGGTCACAGCCGGATTTCTCGGAGTGGTAAGTTGAGACAACACACAGAAAGTCGTATACTGTGCTATGTACTGCGTACATAGCCATAAGTAAGTTCATACGCGCGTATGTACAGTTAGCTGTATGGTGGGTGGCGATTGTCTCATGTGTTCAAGAACATGTGAAGTGGACGTGAGACCACTAAGACTGGGTGGTTTGTTCACGGTCCATCATCTTCACGTCTACAGCAACATGTGGTGAGAACAATAGAATGTGCGGTGGCAATCTCAATGTAACGCCACAATTGTGAACAACGGCAATCGAAGCCGACGTAAGCCTCGCCGGAATATGTACTTACTATGCACCACGTATGTAAGTAACCCGGCGCTTAGAGAATCAGGTCGAAGGTGTACCAGATCCAGCAGTTGAACAATGGATGGTCTCGCGTTGAGACAGAACTGCAGCTTGACCCATTGTGGATGTGGGGTTTTGATGCATGCCGGTGGCCAAGATGTCCGAGTATTGCATTCCAATCGATTGATGATGATGATGATGATGATGGTGATGATTCTTCTTCCTATAATCCCTACTGGTCAGATGGCGAAGACAACACCAAGTTGTAAATGCTGCAGACACATGGTTGCTAGGTGCATATACTAGTAAATGATGAGCACGGCATTTCCCGCTAACATCGGGCTAGTACTGCCGTCGAACTTCGCAGGGGTGGATGCGCATTTAAAAGGCCCTAATGTACTTGGTCTAATACGACTTCCGGCTTACGGCTTACGGCTTACGCGCCCAGACATTTAACTGCCGATTTGCAGTCAAGGGTGAACGTCAGACGCGTCTGGCATGATCGCAGCAGGTCAATCGATGCCCAAAGTGAAGTCCTGGACGATCTGAACATGGCTTCTCTTCAACTGTTTGACGAGCATGATTGGTCCTGGGCCAAGGGTCATGTGAGCTCAATTCATATAGGTCAAGTCAGAGTTGTATCTGCATCCGGCATACGAGCTCAAGCTGGCGTGTGCTGGTTTGGAACACTAGGAAATGCGGAACGCGACGGGAAGGTACGAAGCTCGGAGGGTATGAGTGTCAGGATGGCAGAAATTGGACGAGGCCGTCTCCACAGTTCACCAAGAGCGGATCGAGGCTAGTGTCTTGGCGTATACCCGAACGCGTTTAATCATTCACCAAACTGAACCCAAACACTCACATCATCTCTTTACACGTCGAGAAATCTACATTGGTTATCCTTGACTTCTCAGACGCTTCTCGATTATGTACATTGTACAGACTCCACGTCAGTCTACGGTCTACTGAACGACGATAGGGTTCCTAGTAGGGCTCAACGCTCGATCTTATGTAACCAGGCTTACCGGCTATTGCCTCGTCCATGCCGTACCAAGGCTCTCTTGCGATCATGGCATCGGCACATCATGTGCAACTCAACATGACGGCAGATCCACACTGCTCAACCACCAGCAACCGTTGTTTGTTCATCGTACATCATGGTTATCATGGCATCTTCTCCCCATGTCCAAGAGCCTTTCAATCTTGGTGCTATCCTTTTCTTCTCCGGAAATGCGAGTGAGTTCCTACTCGCGGATATAACTATAAGTAGGGCAGAAGATTACTCCGATAGGGCTGGAAATGGGCCATCCGTCTTACTCAGCAACCACACTGGCCTAGCCAGTTTCAGCAAATCTTCTGACGGCAAGTCTATCATCTGGTACATACGGGTCAGCCCGATGAGATTTTTGAAATTGCCGGATTTCATCGCTAGTAGATGCCGTAACCTCAAATCTGGGCTGCTCAGATAAGCCTCCTGATTTATTCGTCCGTACTTGTGCGTTCTGCTCGAGCATCGTCTCGTCTATAGCATGACGCAAGCAGACCGCATGCTCAAGCTTGTCATGGCGTGGCATGCGATTTGTTCTTGTTGTATCCAATTGGAGATTTTGTCAAAGAACCCAGCACGTTGAACTAACTTCGGAGTACCTCAAACAACACTGACACATGGATCCAACGCCTTTTGAATGAGTCTTGTGATATCTTAGTACTCGTTGCTGCTGGAGGTTAAAAAGAAACTCTATGTCTATTCTCATTCTTCAGACCAAGCTTTTGGGGAACGGTGAGAAACAATTATTCCGATGAGCTTGACGGAGCTTCACCTCCTACCAGACTGGATATATGCCGCAGCACGCATGACAATCCGCCTAAACCTAAACACCCGTCGGCCTTGTTTAGTGGAAGGCCAGCTATCAGTTTACCTTTTTTGCTTGCTCCTCGGCGGTCAAATAGAACGGCATGACCTGCTTCCGATGTCAACCGTTGGGGAAACCTTAATCTGCCCAAATCGACGCAATCGGCGACTACAGGGAGATATGCGTACTTGAACGCTGCGGGAAAGCTGAATGTATTGCCTGACTGAAAATGCTGAGGATTGCAATGAAATGGCGAGATTTCTTGCCGAAAATTAAAATAGTTCGTATCAGGAAATATTGGTCATTCTGTGCGACAGTGGAGTACTGAAGACATGACATTTGTCATGCAAATTGCCGAAAACATGAAAGTTACTGTTGAAACAGGGCAATCTGAATGACACTGCGACTTACTCGTATCTGTTATAAATTGACTCGCAAAGCTAACATTGTATACCTGAAAGGGACTGGCAAGCAACCCATAAACTCAGTTGTAAGTACTGTCTGCTGATTCCGAACTTTAAGTTGACCCAGTAACATCGTTCTTGCACATCGGCTTTCTTCTCACTAGACGCAAAGCGGTCTAGTGAAACTTACAGCCGATTTACGGATAAGAGTCGCATCTGTAGTCAAGTCATTGTATATAGTAGTCAGGACTGTTCCTCCAAGCAGCAGCAGCATTGATCTAAGTGAGCCAATGAGCAAGAGATGTGGATTTTATCGGCCCATCTATCGATGACTTTGCATTAGTTCTCGAATGCAGCTTTGATAATTCACATATATCCACCAAAACTAGCACCTCTTTCGCCAACGTTAATCGCACAAGAGCCACTTGATCTTCATATAGAACGAGTTACTGAAAGGGTTGTCGTAAGTTCCTATTCTCCAGTACGTGGTAATTCACTATCATGGGGCTGGATATTTTTCTAGAACTTTCTAGGAAGCAGATACAGGCCAGTTGCATCTTTGGTGATATGCACATTTGGGACGATTGAAGTTTTTGTAGGTATGTGGCTCCTCAAGTGGAATATTCAGTAACTGGATTGTCACAACATGCGCACTCAATACTCCTGCGCTAGTGTTCAATATCCTATCTGCCAACTTCTGGTGGCTAGATAGAAATGGCTGCTCACGTGATATCACTCTCTTCAGGAAAGCACAAGGAGCCTCTGAAAGCCTTTACAGAGGCGCAATTCTACTGCCAATCGTACCGGTAGTACATTAAGTCAAGCTTTACTATTAAGTGAATTTCATTTTGGTAATTGTGTATCGCGAGCCCTCACCGCCCCACTTTGTCGTTCCAATCACCATGATGCCATATTTTGACCCTTATCAGTCACCTTATCTCACGAGATTTCATCGCTATCGTCAAAAGCACTCTTTATCTAGAGCATTGATTTCACCCAAGCTTCGAACATCAGGACGCTATATTCACGCCCGGCTGTCCAATTCTCACCTACCATGGAGCACCAACACTATCAACCAACCTGGCCGCTGGTCGAGGGCACATATGATTACACAATGAACTTGGCTGCCGAGCTCTGGACTATGATATGGCTAGCGGGTGAAGCCACCAAGCATATGCCAAAAGAGATGTTGATTTGAATACCGCGAAGAAAGGGAAGACTGCAGCTTGCCCGGATACAACAATTGTTGAGGTAAACAACGCTGGTACAAAGACCTGAGGATATCACACGAGTTAGACAAAAGTCCACGCGCTACCTGGAGACAAGCAAAAAGAAACTACCGGTATGGCATCACATTCAAGGTCGCGAAGTATGAACTGACGAAACAGTGGGGATGTCGCACTGGTTTGGACAAAATCATCTACACAAAATATACCGAACATTGATTCCTACGAAGTGCAAGGTATGTCTGTATGCAGTATCTGACGAATCGTAGCCCATGTACTGACTAATAGCAAGCAGCGCATCAGCCGAGTGTTCTCCAGGGCTAAGAGGACTGGGCAAGTATCATGCAGCTGCAGTGACGACACAGAGCGTATGGTATCGGGATTTGGGAATTGTCGGGGAATGGGAAAGGGAGTGCCCAAGTGACATGAAAGGGCATCAGTATTCTCATTGGTGCTATAATAGGAAGGTACCTGGGCCACAATCGGATCGTATGCAAGGACCAAACATTAGATTTAGTTTAATACCTCTTAGCGGTCCTTTTTTTTTTTTTTTAGTAATTTGACAGTCAATTCCAGGGTTATGAAGTTGATTTGCCAAAATGACGTCTGATATAATCGACAAATGTTTTTGCTATGCTCCAATTCTTTTGTATCGCGCGAAAGCGAAACAGACAACTCTTGCAATCGTGACTTATGAGATAAGTGAAGTAAGACAATGAACACACTGTAGCACTAGGACTTCAAATCAATCGCAATTACCTCCTCTTACTCTATTTGCTGGACCATAGCTGCTTAACGTTCTTCAATCACTCCCCTCTCGTCGCGTTGATGCCAAGTCCTATATAAAGTCCCACAAAAATCCACCAGCGTCCTCATCTGGTAACATGACAAAGTCAACAAACCGGCCGAGCTATATATAAACTCCCATGAAGTGAGTCCTAAGTGACAGCAAAGAAGCTTAAAGGGCACGGTACTTAAAGGGGATGTATATACGGCTTCAGAAAATCCTTCGAAACAAAAGTCTTTTTCCATTTCTCACGCTTTTACCGCAACATGGTGACAAAGACTCACATTTCCTCTCGATTTTAGCAGGTGCGACACCAATGCTAATTGAGTGGGATTGCAATGACCCGGTGTCCTGGAGATGGTAATAGAATCGGGGGTTATCTACGATGTAATCTGTATTGCTTTAAGAAGCTGGGAAGAGAGGTGAGGTGAGGTGCGATAAAGGGTATTGAAGAGGTTGCGGGAGAGATCGGTTGTCCGAGGGAGATGTGCTGAGGGAGAGGTCAAGAAGCTGCGCTGTGTTAAGAAAGTTTATCGCACTTCTGGAGTACTTAATAGATGCGGGGCTTTGCTTGTCGAAGACACACATGGTAAGTCGTTCGCAGGATGCACAAGGTGTCAATTGGGGCAGTCCTGGGTTTATCTCTTGAGACGACTTGGCTTTTCGTCGTTTGATTGGGTAGTTTCGCACTCTGTTGCAGCGAGATCCTTGTCTTTGCAGGTGTGTGATCGGTGTAGAGAGGCTTGGGTGTGATCGTATTTGTAAATACCCCGAGCCAGTCGGTTGGAATTATAATGGGGCTCGTGAAACGAGTGGCACTTTATTCTGGAGACGGATAGGAAGGTGACTTCGGTAGCGTTTAAGGCTCTGTTTAAATCCTTGGTGTGGTATGTAAAGGGCCAAAGAAGAAAGGGTTGTTTGATGTTGGTGATGCGTGTACGGCATTGAAGAGTTTGGCAATGATATAGAATAAGAAAATAGACGCTTTGCTGCGGGAAATCCGAGCATTCCGATAGATTTTCGTCTATTCTTATCAGATACGGTATGCACTTCCTAAGAATAGGATCAATCCCAGTGTCTAGAGATTTTTGGATGTGAATTCCAGGGTACCGATCATTTTCGGCAGTTAGTTCTTGTACGCGCGTTGATATATTTAAACGTCCTGGAAATGAGGCTCAGCATGGCTAGAGCATGTCCTTGGTATTTGATTTTCATCTACAGCACTAAATTGAACAGGGTCGTCGATTGCGTTTGCGCCTAAAGCTTATAGACAGTAGATGGTGGGTCAGTCTCCTCGCACACATCTTAGCCTTACAGCGCGCTGGAACCTTTATAGGCAATAAGGTCACTCTTATTCTCCACTATACAAGTTGCGAATTCTATTTCTATAGTGAGTAATATCCACTTTTGTAGCGAATGTAAGGGTCCACATTCGCAACGCTACCCGAATCCGTAGATTTGGAATACGAAGGGCAGTGCTTACATCGCCTCATTTTCGCCGTAGCACTCCAACGTTGAAATCATATTATTGATAATCGTCATTGAATTCGAAAGATCACCTTCGATGATCATCGTCCTAGCTCAGGCGGAACTAATTTCGGTTCCGGATCCGTCCCCATCCGGTGCCCCTGGAACCCAGCCCATAGCACACTGCCGCGACAACGGTCCGAGATTTAGCGAGCACGCAACTAACACAAATATAATAAGCAGCATAGCTGTTCAGAGACTGCTAGGTATGATTTATCAGCTCGAAATGTCTGGAAACTAGTGTTTGGTACACGCTTGACTAGCTTACCAAGTCTAGTAGGCCAATGTTGCGTCAAACCATATACAAGGATACGAACACAAACCACAGCAAACTTTGCTTACTCCATAATAGGTGATGCACTAAATGTGCTTTTATTAAAGTATGACATGATTTTTTTGGAGAAGTCGTCCGATTTCCCCTCCATTCAAGAGCGTCGTAGTAGATATACCGAGGCCATTAAGGACTGTGACATTCTCGCGTTCATGGAAAGCAAGTCGAGACAGGGCCTGAGCCAATCAGGAATCCGGAGCCGAGTCAAGAGCTTCTGGTGTGGCTTATGGCTACCACCCGCAACCCAAAGTGGATACTGAGGCGAAGGCATACATATATTTCGCGGAGCCGCACGCAGGCTCCAATGATTGTGGAAGGTAATTCTTCTCCCCATGCTTGCCCCTATTACTTGGAGAGCTTTGCTAAATTCCTGCGATTGGCACTGCCTTCGTATCAGCGGAGATATAGCCGAAGATGTAAAGTTCCCACTTGACGGCTTTGATAGTTGGGTCTGCGTTACGTCAAGTCACTTACACACATCGGCCCACTTCCAGCACCCGGAATGCTTTGACCAACGGACATTTTATGGCGACATTTCAATTCCTACGTGATTCACCTTCGCCACAAACAAAACCATGCTGGAGTGAGTGGTGTTTGCTCCCATGGTGACTGTTTGTGCACGTGCCACATGTGACTTCCTGTTTGAAACCCGCGCCTTGAGTGTCTCACTGCCGTTTTCCTCAACCGTACTTCCTCTTGAATCTTCCATCTCCTTGTAATCACTTGCTTCAAAACCCCCTCGTGGGACCCGTCCATTGTGGCGGTACAGCTTTCGGGCGAGTCCGTAGCCACAGCAGCAACCACACGCCTATACGAGTACCGGCACACTTTCCCACTAACTTCTTTGCCAACGGTTCTCCCAAATATCTCCTAAAATGACGAATTCCAAGCAGGTTGCGCAATCTCGCATGTGGAAGAAGCCTCTAGCTGTCTCAAACGCGACCAACCCGCTCGCAGTAGCACTGACCTTATATCCGGTACTAGAAGTAGGTTCCACCCTGTTACTAATTTTGGCGCTCAATGACTAATAAACGATAGACACTTGTTTCGTACCTTCCGCCATATGATTTAGTCACAGTGACCCAATTGTGCCAAACGCTTCATAGCCACATCCAAATACACGATGCGAGGGTAAAGGCCAATCTACTTTCTAAGACCTTGTGTGCTGGGCTGGGCTCCTACTTGCGCACATTGTTTCACTGTGCGTGCACAGCAAAGAGTTTTCGCCTAACTATCGGCTGTGCCAGCGATGGGTTTCGAACTGAATCGCGTCCATGTGTGGAGTGCGGAATCAACACATGCGATGAATGCCGGATACATGTCTTCTACAACCATCTCGTCGAGGACGCTGGGTACGACCAACGTCGCTGGTGGGCAGGTTTTTTCTTTCTGAATACTGCGTCGATTTCTGTCCTTCCACCAAAGCATGGAGATGTATCTGCCTGGTACCGTCCTATCGAAGAAATGGAGCCTCTCCACGATCGCGGCCGTTTCCACATTCCACTCCACATTCCTGCCATCGGCGATCCGGAGCCAATAGAGCGCCTTCTGGATATCAACCTGGGTGAGCAACAGATCATCAGCCCTCTCGGTCGTACTCAACCTCCATATAGCGGCAACGAGATTGTATCGTTCCTCAATATGATTATCACCCTACGGAAAGAGCTTGTGTGCTTGGCATGCTTCAAGGAACGACAGAAGAAAGGCTCATCTCGATGCTCTTGCACACTCCGTAAGCGCTTCCTGGACCGTTGGCTGTGCGTGGGTTGCTATGTAAAAGAAGATCACGCAGACAAAGCCATGGCTAGCCATATCGTTGTCCAAGACGACGACGGAGGCGGCCACCGTCACCTATGTGCCTGTGGGGCGAGTTTCGGAGCGGGTCCACAGCCAAAAATTCTTTGTAACTGGTGCAAGGGAGAGGTTGCAGGGGAATGGGTTGACGCCGAAAACGAGATGGAGGACCGAGACGCCGAAGAGCCCGAGGAGGAAGAGCAACAAGACGAGGAGCATTCAGCTGCTGACTTTGCGCATATGGAGCCTGGTGAGCTTGGTTTCGCCAAAAATTGCGACAAGTCGTTATCAGTCTATGTAGACGGCACTTGCATTCGTGGAGAGCGTTTGGGGCGAGGCATTGTGCGCAAATGGAGATTAGAGGAAGGTCTGCCGGACGATTGCATTTGCTGTCTGTGCGAAGACGGCGATGCCAACCATAACCACAACCACGATGGAAACGACGGCGAGGGGAACGATGATGGGGACGAACGGGGGACGAACGAGAACAGTACTACAGCTATCGATGACGATGAGAGTAACTGAGGGTATGCTGGTGTGGGAAAGACGCCTCCGAAGTGCTGGTATTGGGGTCATAGGAGTAGTTCACAAGCCTGTGCGTTACTGATTAGGGGGTAAAAGCAGAAAGCTATGTATGAATGTTGATGTACTCGAAGCTCGCTAACACGGCCAGCGAACACATAGCTACCCAAACGTCCTAGGGCAAGAAACGTTTCAAGTGAATAGAAAGATAGGGAGCCGGTGATGGCGAGTAGCGCCTCCCCGCAGCGTGCACGACCTTCTCCCCGATGTGGGCCCTTACTATAGTACTATGCGAGCCGGGAAGCTTGGCATTGACAGCGACGCCTCGCCTCACCGGAGGCTCACTACCACCATGCTGGAATACCTTGCGCGTTCCTATCCAGTCGATCCTTAGGCCATCCTATCGCCCGTTTTCCACACCGACTCCGTATTTTTGAGCTGGATTGGGGAAATGTGAATGTAGATCCATAGAGAGGTGCAGTGTGAGGTTGCAGTACCTACACAGGCGTGGGAGCGAGCACTGGTTTCAAAGGCTACAAATGCATCACATGCACCCATCTCTTACCAGCACTGTGGATTTCTCGGTGACTTCGTATTACCTTTGAGCTATGCATTTGCCTTACGTAGGAGATAGACGGTCTCGACACTGAGTCGCCGTATCGATGCTGCCAAGGCCTCTCGCCCGGCCTCTCGGCTTGTCGGCCCAATGCTCAAGGTGCAAATGCATGATAGTGCATAAGATTCCGCGCAAAGAGCGTGTAGATAGCCATAGGACAAGCCATTACTGGTAAACTCATAATCTGCACAGTTTTCCCATATTTTTCATAGCCATTGCATCACTCCTGGGACCCTACAGAGCACATGTCTATGCTCTAGCCCAACGCTACTGCTACAAGTCCAACCGCTATTACGTCTTTTATACATGCTCGTGCAAGCAGAATATCCCTTTTAATAACGCCAGTCTCTTCTGAGCCATTCAGCACAGCATCAACATTTGGACGATGAAACTGTTACCAACCTTTTCCGAAGACCGTAGCGCACAGACAGAAACATTCAAGAACATCGCCTCTGAAACTATTGGGGAAACATACATCGAAGAAGATCCATCGGTGGCAGAGTGGTTTCGCGAGTTTGTGCCGACCTCACACGGCGTGGCCGAGTATTTTCGCCAAGTGTTTCCGAGTGCGCGCTGGATCAGAAGGTACAACCTACATTGGCTAGCCGGTGATGCCATTGCTGGAATCACTGTTGGTCTTGTTGTCGTTCCCCAGGGAGTAGCATATGCATTGCTTGCTCGCTTGTCGCCTGCTTTTGGTCTCTACACTACCTTTACAGGCGCATGTCTATACTGGATATTCGGTACTTCAAGAGATATTGTCATAGGTGTAAGTCAAATTCTCCATCTCAGCATCCCAGTATCTAACCCAGATATAGACTACTGCTGTTGGCTCACTCCTGATTGGCAGTGCTGTCAGCAAGGTTGAGACCTCGCATCCGGGCAAATACAAACCTGAGGAAGTGGCTCATGCCATAAGCTTCTTAGCTGGTGCCATCTTGCTCGCCTTTGGTTTTCTCCGCCTTGGCTTTATCATTGAATTCATACCCTACATACCTATCTCGGCCTTCATCACATCAGCCAGCATCACTATCATCTCAACCCAGCTGCCGACTTTGATGGGTGTGAAGGGAATCAATACGCGCGAGTCTCCATACAAGGTGTACGTCAACTTTTTAAAGAGTCTGCCTCGCGCACAACTCGATGCAGCTATCGGCATTACATCTATCATCATCTTGTACCTCATCAAGAACACTTGCGCTAAGATGGAGGCACGACAACCACGAAGAAAGAAGATGTGGTCCCTTATATCTTCTTTGCGTCTTGCCTTCACCGTACTGCTCTACACCCTTGTCAGCTGGCTGGTCAACCGAAAAATGCCTACAGGTAAAGAGAGATTTCGTATTGTCGGTCACATCGAGAAAGGCTTCAGTCATGCTGGTGTCCCTCCAATGGATGGCGAACTTTTCGGACTTGTTGCCCCTGAGCTGCCTGCTATGATCATCATTCTCATTGTCGAACACATCGCCATTGCGAAGAGCTTTGGCCGCCAGAACAACTACACCGTCGTACCCTCTCAAGAGATGATTGCACAAGGCGCTGCCAACCTGCTCAGTCCATTTGTCGGTGGCTATGTATGTACTGGATCCTTTGGTGCATCTGCTGTGTTATCCAAAGCAGCAGTGCGAACCCCGCTCTCTGGAGTTTTCAGCACGTTAGTGTTGGTACTAGCACTGTACGCACTCACTGCAGTCTTCCACTACATTCCTAACGCAGCACTCGCTGGTATCATTATCCACTCTACCGTTGATTTGATCAAAGGTCCAAAGGACTTGCACAAGTATTATCAGCTCTCCCCATTCGAACTATTCATCTGGGTTTGTGGTGTCGTCATCGCCTTCTTCACCAATCTCGAGACAGCCATCTATGTAACCGTCGGCCTTTCTTTCGCCATGCTTCTATTGCGCATAGCCAAGAGCCCAGGCAAGTTCCGTGGCTCAGTTGGTGTAACACGCATTGTACGCGAAGATCTGCCTTCCGACCAAGCATCTTCTGCGGAAACACTTGATGTTCCGGTGGTTAGTCATGTTGAACATATTGAAGGAATGCGCCAGGTCTACATTCCCTACGACGTTAAAGACAACCACAACCCGAACATCACAATCGAACCGGCATATCCAGGTGTTTTCATCTACCGCTTTAGCGAAAACTTCAATTACATCAATCAGGCCTACCACGTCGACTATCTGACCTCTTATATCAAATCACACACCCGCCGAACGCAAACAGATGACGGCATCAGTGATCATGACCGCCTTTGGTGCGACGCCCCGCCTACCGAAAGGCTCGTTCAAGAGTCTGCCTCACTGCCAGTTCTACGAGCAGTAGTACTCGACTTTTCTACTGTCAACATTCTTGACATTACTAGTATCGACGGCTTGAAAGGCCTGCGCGATACTTTAGACCGGTATGCAACACCTGGTTTGGTAGAGTGGCATTTCGCCGGCGTACACAATCGATGGACCCGCAAGGCGCTTTCGTTCGCGGGTTTCGGGTTCCCTGCAACCACAAACGTCGACAGCATGAGTAACTGGTGTCCTGCATACACAGTCACTAAAAGTCTGGCTGGTGCGACAGATGAAGAGCGCAAAGAGGTGGAGCTTGTGAAGAGGAGCGCTAGTGTGCGAGATGAAGAGTTTTGTAAAGAAGCCGCGGAGTCGAGTGAGACGCAAATTCATATGAGCAATTCAGGCAAGCAGCGGCACTTCGAGCCCATGTATGGCGTAGATAGACCATTTTTCCATCTTGACCTCCACGACGCTGTTGACGCAGCAGTGAGAGATGCGAAGAAGGCTGATATGCGGGAGGCACGAACAATCTGCTCCCTCAGTGATCGGTCCACGATTCCTCCACCAGGTGAAGTGGTGTAGATAACTTGTTTTTCTTTTTGTATTCCTTCACTAATCTCCTCCGATCCATTGGATTAGAACTTAGCGGTGGCGTCTGGCATCAATAGGCGTTTTGGTATTTTTGTAGCGTTAGACTCCTCGAGTGGATGGGGATTCGCGGAATACGGAACTCACGCTGGTATGCGCTTAGACTTAGCTCTTTAAAATGAATAATGATGAAAGTAATTTGATTTTGATTGCTTGCATTGTTTTCACTCTGAGGGTGTGTGGCACATGGCATAGCTTGCTGCCTCGGACTCGAAATTGGAGGGAGCGGCTGACCAATCCCGTACTATCGGGAGCAGTGGATTACAGATTTGGTGCGTCTTCGAGAAGACGACTAACAGCAAGGACTTTCTGCACAGCCACTCCGCCATACAGAAAACTTAAGATAGGCTTTAGTAGTAGTTACGTATTTTAAAGACAGTGCTGATCGCAAAATAGCACATACAGTCCAATCCGTGTGAGGTTGGCTCACCCTCCCAAACTCACCTATATGCTTCCTCCCAGTGTTTTGACTCACTGTCAAACCGTATCTTATAGTTATGCCTAGCGACCTCCACCTCGAAATGACCTCAAACAGGTTGGTCTTTGCCGTAATAAGAGATTGCAAACGCGCAGCCATGTCTACGCCACACCATATGTGTTACATTCTGTCAAGAGCCGATACTGCTCAAAGTACCGCACAAACATTTACAGTTTGAAGAATATCTGCTCCGATTGCCGGTATGGATATTCAGCTACTTGAATAAATGGGGCTTGTAACTCATAGCCCTCGTTCGCAGTCGTTGAATACTCGTCTCGAATTCACCACTGTAGGGCCTTAGCGTCTTTCTCTTTCACTGCGTGGTAAGCAAGTCCGTTTGCAGTCTGCTATCCTCACTAAGGTACCACACACACAGTATATATAGAGGTGTTTGCACTCCCATTTGTACCTATTCTCTAACATCCATTCATTGACCTCTCGCCGCTCGACCGCATCGAGCCTCAATCCACGGAGGAGAGATGGATGACAAGTTACTGACAGCGATCATAGAAGGAACTTTAAGCGATAACGAGGCCAAAGGACAACTTCTCAGACGCAGATACACCATTGCAATCGACGAAGACCTCCCGCCTGACCTCCGAGCCCGAGCCCTTCAAATATGTGACAAGGCCTTCAAGTCCGGCATCTTCGAAGCAACCAGCAAGACGCCGCCATTCGTCACATTCCTGCACGATGCATTGGAAGCAATTGCACTTGTGTACAAGGACAAGGATGCTCGGCTCACGCCATCACCTCAAACAAGGACAAGCACTCCAGCCGATGCGACGAAGCACACTCTTGAGCCATTACCAGGTTCCGAGTCCGACCTCGAGCGTCGGTCTGCTGCTTCTGGTCGGGGTCGGCGTTGGAGATCAGTGACTTTGGAACGGTCAATGGTCGCGGATGCAGTCGAAGCGAGGCGGCTTCGGAAGCGCCGCGCGCATTTCAACACTGATACATCTGGGAGAGATTCAAAGCGTCGTCTTTACGGACCCCCCGAGAATGTTCCCAGGACAAAGTATTCAGCAGAATCTTCACCCTCCATGATCGTCAAATTGCGAGTTCCAAGTACAAGTGACAGCAACAAGTTGCTAGGCGTACCTGTTCCCATCCCCAGAAGACCTACTTGAACTGTTCAAGGCTAACATACTCAAGACTCGCAGCAGCTCCAACAAACCACCTGGCAGCAGAAACACACTGCCCAGACATATTGATCCTTTCGCCAGTACCAACAGCTGCTTCTTCACGAATGAAACGACAAGTTTGGAACTACCTTGTAAAGGCACTCGATCTAGCATGGGTCAGACGGTCCCAGAACAAGTCCCCAACGTGAAGAGAGTCCATTTCCCAGACGGTCACACTGCCGACAGTGCCACACCAGTCGAGGACTTCTTGTTCAAAAGGGCCAATTCCTCGAACAAGTCCAGTGTACATGGAGAGTCTGGTATGCAAGCCAGCATCCTCAAGCAGACCACCAAGAAACAAGAAAAGCCAAAGACAAAAGAGCCACTTGTGGAAAACGCCCGGAGAAAATATGCCTTACGCCGCACTGCCCGTCGACCTGCCAGAGAACTAAGCTTTGCCGATCCTCTTATGAGATCAGGGCGCCCATCACCACCACGACCTGAGGAGATGCTTACAGAAGAGTCTCTACAACTCCATCGCTCCTTTAGCGGCTTCAGCCTTCGGACTTTACCAACGCTACCAAGAGGATCAGGCGTACCCAGGTTATCAACACAAGCCGGTGCACCAAGCGCATTCAAGTCACCAACAAAAGCTGGAGCACCAAGCGTACCCATATTGCCAACACAAGCAAGAGTAGCGATTCTACCCAAGAAACCTGTAGAACAGGGCAGGCCAGACAAGGAAGTAACAGTTGCAGCACCTCCACCACCTCCGCCTCCACCGCCTCCACGCCACGAGTCCGAGGTTCTCAGTTCTAATCTTTCCGCTTCAACAGAAGCAAGGTTTCGGATTCCCAAGGATCTGTTTATCTCCCCCAACTTTCCTGAGTCAATACGACGATTAGAAACACTAATTTCAGGTCGCGAGGATCTCGTCGTCTCTCCCAACCTTCCCGCGTCACTGCTACAGATCGAAGCATCACCTCCACTCCCAGGAGCCGTATTTCCCAACCGCAGACTTCCTCTACTGCCTAATCAAGCAGGAGAATCAGGTGTAGCTAAACCTTTGGAAGGAGAAGCCAGGGAATACATTGCACTAGCACCTTTCCAACCCGAAGCCGCGTTATCGTCTCACAACCTTCCCCCGCTGTCAGCAAATCTAGGAGATCTACTTCCACGCCGCCATGTCTTCAACCTCAGGCCTATTCTTCCCAAGCCACCAACGCAAGAGGGAGCACCAGATGTGACCGGCCAATCAGGCGGACCCGTAGCAGGAAGAGGAGCACTACGTGCAGCCAGTGAACCCGTCAGACCCGCGAAGGGAAGAGGACGAGGGCGAGGACGAGGAAGAGGAAGACCCAAAAAAGCACCTACACCATTACCTCTCTGCAACAAAACTATCTTTCCACCACCAGCACAACCAATAGAGCCGCGTATAAATCTCGCTATCCCTGTTCCCAGCCTCGGTCTTCCCACGCTATCAGTACGAGCCGGAGCATCACGCATCTTCACTGAGCTCTTTAACTGCGTTTCGCATATGGAAGATGTCAGATCGGTGCCAGACGAACCAAGGGAGTCAGATGGAGATAGACTCGAGCGACCTTCCGCCGCCGCCGCCAACCAACCGCCTCCTTCTCCTCCAGCGATATCTTCTTTACCACCTCCCGTCACCCCACCTCCGCCTCAAGGTCCTCCCATTCACATCTCCTTAGCATCACCTTCCTCCATATCCCCATCGCGATCACCTCCCGCCCAAGCTATCTCCAGTCCCCCCATCTCCATCCCTTCCACCTCCTCTTTCCCGTCTTCCTCTCCATCGCCATCCCCATCCCCCACCACACGCCAGCTCGCGGCGTTCGCAGAGTCCATTGTACACTCTATTTCAACGCTGCCCGTCCTAACCTTCCCTCCTTTTCCCTCCACCCTCGCTCCGCGAGCCCTCCTACACTTCCACACCGGCGCTGTCATCGCAGTCGAGAATATCCTAGAAGACTATAACGTCACGCCCGACTTTTCCCTCCTTGATCTCATTGAGGACCTGGAGGAGAATCGCCCGATGATATATGATTGGGAGCATGTTACTGTTATGAGTGGCGGGGATTGGGTGTATGGAGTGCTGAGGAAGGTGTGGCGGGTGTGGGGGGCGAGGGTGGATGTTGAGGAGGTTGTCCAGACGTTGATGGAATGGGTGGATGGGGAGTTTGAGAGGTTAGGGGGGATTAGGAAGGAGTAGGTGGTTGACTTGTTTTTTTTTCGGTTTCACTTTTTCTTGGGTTGAGAGGGGTAGGGTAGGCTGGGTACTGCAAAATGGATGAGAAGGGGAGAGATTTGCAAGAGGAGATTCATGGCCTTGTTCTTGTTTATTGATTTTGTTTTGCTACTGGGTCAGGGTAACAATGATTGCTACGCTATTCAGTAGTTGTCATGCCTTTGAGCATGATCATTTGCTTGTGGGCAACAGACATACATGTAACAGTTTTTTGTACAGTATTTGGTGGACGAGAGCGATTGACTCAGGCCAGCTGAGCTAAGTATACGTACATGTAGAATATCAAAGTCTTTGCACTCACACTCCGTCATGTCATTGTATATACATGCAGCACTAAGTAGTATAACGTGCAGCCCATTCTCACCAAGACCCCCAGCCGGCTCTGAAACAACGCTGCATGTAATGTGTGTCGTGACATTAGAGATATACCAAGACGTGTCAAAATCCACATGGTCTAGAAACAGTGGCCAAGACCTTCAGGGCTGACCATACCCTCCAGCCATCATGCCCGTGACCTTCCTTGGGTGCCACCGCTAGTACTCTCTTCACCTTGTTCCGAGTCTGGGTCTGTACATGACTCCCCTCCTGACTCGTGGTGGACACAAGCTTTTAGCGTCTCCAGACTTACCGAGGTTTTGGCGACGCTTCAGGCCCGACAAATAATGGTTCACGACTCGCGAAGTAACCACATCTAAGCGAAGTCTCTTCTGGTCACTAGTGACACGTGCCGAACTTCGGAAAGACGTCACAGGAAAAAATTGAGTTCTCGAATCAATGAACATCTTTCCTAGAAGGTAACGGAGCTGCCCATTCTCAGCAGCTTCAACACGATTTGGCTAGTAGGATCTACAAGACCGACTTGTTAGGGCCGATTTGCCAAGGCGGATGTAAATTCCTTCCACTCGGACCAAAGTTGTGCAGCGTCCACGAGTCTACTCCTGGTAGACGCTGGAACCACACTTTTTTTCCGTGTCTGTAACCCAGTGCGCTAGGTCGACATACTCTTTGTGACGCTTAAAATGTGTAGGTCGAGTTCATCAACGGTAATTTGTGTTGATTCAGTAGTTATGCAGCTGAGGGGGCCGGAAGAGCTGGTGGCTCTGTTCTATCATCATCTCAATGTTCTTGGATTCGTTCATCTCAAAATTGTGCATCAGCTCCATCTGCTGTTGCTGATTCAGGCCCGTCCCTCTGGAGTCTTGGCTCCACGCTGGGTTGAGATAGTCCGCCATTTCGTAGCCTTGATTGGCCGCATACGATTCATTGTAGAAAGGTGAGGCCATGGGCATGTTGTAGTTGTCCTGGGACGGCATGGTAAAAGTCGGGTTCCATTGAGGTAGCTCCGCAAAGGTTGTGGGAAGCGAGTTGAATTGTGTGGCGGGTGGGTGAGTGTAAATGGGCATGTTGGAATCGACCGACGTTTTCGGGCTCATCTCATTGTATGTCATGGATGGAGGCTGCTGGGGTGATGAGTGCAAGTCAGCCTGCTGCACACTTGGCGCACTGGAGAATGGGGCGGGTGCATTCGCCTGTCCATTGCCAAAGTTGAAGAGCGGTTGATTGCTTGGTATGTAGCCGAATGGCGCTGTCGCCCTGTCGGACGGTGTGCCCACCGATGCCGTGGACGCTGTTGCTGGGCTTGTAGTTCTTGACCGGTTGATACCATCTACGTTGCCGTTTGCTACCGAAGCAGTGTCGGATGGTGAGCTAGCCGAGATTGGGACGTCGCCGTCTTTGTCGAAGATCTTCATACATGCGCTGATCAGGTTGTGGTACAGGCCAATAGCAGACTCGACGCCGGGCCATCGTTCAGATGCATGTTTGATCGATTCCATGGCGACTACGAGATGGCCTTCGACCTCTTCCCGACTGTGGAGTTTTCGTACATCGGAGTAAGACAGGGTCCAGAGCATAGTGTTGATGCACATGAAGATGGATTGGGTAAAGATCCAGGTGACGTCTATGTTCTTGGTCTCAATCTGCTTCATGGTCATGTAGATGTTGTACCGGCATGCGTCGAAGCAGCGGATGGCAGCATCGACCGACGGTCGGGGGACTTGTGGGGAAGGGCGGTACATGAAGACGACCATGGTGTTGTATCGTCCAATGAACCTGAATGGAAGGTAAGCATTGGCGTGCATTTTAACATGGAGGGGATACATACCAAACCTTGTTCAAACCCGAGCCACCGTCCATTTCTGGACTCGTGTCTCGCCAGGCCTCGATCTTTGCTAACATCTGAGCAAACCAGGGGTGCTGGTCATCTTTGGGTTCGGGTTTTTTCTTTTGGTACAGCATCTTGCGTATTTCAAGCTGTAGCAAGCGCATCTTGTAAAAGTGTTGGCCGATCCATTTCTTGAGAGATGCTTGGGGCGCGGGCTTGATTCCTTCTCTGGTGATGTAGCAGTCATCGACAAGTTCTCCAAATTGTACGTCAATGTGTTCGCGGCGCGTAGCAAAGTGGGCAGGTCGGCCTAGACTGTGCGATAGCCCATAGTCCATGGTAAGGATGCTCCAGAATAGACGCCTGCGCATGTCAACTTCCAGGGGGTCTGCTGAGCGCCCACCCGGGCCCATAGAAATGGTCTTCTCTTCATGCAAGCCCAATGCTTGACACAGTCGCACGCCGAGGCCAATGATGTAATAGACGGCGGTTCTTGTAGGCGTTAGAAGAGAGTAGCCAGCTACTAGGCCAAAGCACTGCAGCGTCTTGAGGTTCATGGGCTTGATAGCGGCTTCAAAGTACTTGAGGGCTGCAAGGTAGTAGCTGTCCGCCAGACCAACCCACTGTGTATCCATTCTCTGCAGGCTAATGGCAATGACCATGCGCAGGCAGTAGTTCTGATAAGGGTCTGTTGAGCCATTGTAGACATCGTCGACGTCCTTTGTAAACGTGGGCTCGTGGAAGAGGGGGTACATGGGGTGCACTATCAACAGTTAGCTTATGCAGGCTTATCAAAAGAAAAGAGCAACATACCTTTGCAGTAGAAGAGCTCAACGAGCAGGTTGGTAAGCTCTCTGGTGGGCAGCTCCTCTGCCGCTACATCACTAACCATGGGGTATATCTTGGACGTGGGCCGCTGGTCTTCTTGGGTAAAGGTGTCCTTGATGTCCTTTGCGCGCGAGTGTGGCACAATCTCGGATATGCTCTTAGACTCTGTGAACTGCTTGGCCAGCTGCATGACGAGGCGCGTAATGGTAATGCCGCTCGAGGGGCCTAGGAACTTTGACTCGTCCGAGTCCTGGACGCGCACAGTGGCGGCCCCGCGCATGACATCCTCAGGGTCCGGTTCGGCATCGTCTCGCTCGAGGTCAGCCAGCTGCTTCTCGAGTTGACGGACTTTCTGCTGCAAGTGGACGACATAATTGCGCGGTATCTTGCGGCCTTTGGCAGGGTCGTAGTACTCGCAGTGTGAGTTTGTGCGCTCACAGGGCCCGCACCGGGGGAGGCCAGGGTCGCAACGTGTCTTGCGCTGGAGACGTGTCAGACTGGCGCTATAGTTTTCAGTGGGAGGGATACTTACAGTGCGGCAGCGGCAACAGGCCGTCAGGGTATGTGCTATACGGGATTGGGAACCAGTGGTGGAGGTGGTGGTGTCGTCGGGCGGGTGCGGGGCGGCTTCGGTGCTTGTCTGTATGGCAGTCGAGGCGGCGTCCATGGCTGCTCTGTCACCGTCCGGGCAGACACAGCAGCAGAGAGAGGGACTGGGGCGAGGATAGCGACGAGGGCGCAGTGTTTATGATTGTTCTTCGGCCTGGCATGTGGGGAGAGGGTGAACGTGCACGGCCATGGCCGGAGATGGTGCTGCGGCGGCGAGGGTGATGATGTGCTTCCTGCTGTGTTCCAATGCCTGTGTCAATGCCTGTGCCAATGCCAGGGCTAATAGTACCAATACCGACACCAATGCCAACGTCAGTGCTGGAGCCAGAGCCAGAGCCAGTGCTTGCAGAAGCAGAGGAAGAAGAAATGCAAGGACGGGCAAAAGGAACCAGGGCTCAGCATGGGGGTGGATATGGTGTCTATACTACTAGGGAAGGGTAGGCTGCGGCACCGCCACCCGCAGGCCTCGAACCTCGCAGCCAGCGCCATCGCCATCCAATCCACGGCCCTCTTGTCACCTGTCAGCCCGCAATACCAACCATCGCAATAGGCGGCTCTTATGCCCCGTCCGGTACAAGCCTGAGCTGCCCGCTGCCCTACCCGTGGCGAGGTCACTGCTCAACACCACGCTATCTCCTCTCAGTACCATACACTGCGCTCCCCCCCGGCACCGCATCCCCACCCTCCCACGCGACACTGGCACTCCTGGCTCTTCCCTGCGCTAGCCTGTCCGCTTGCATTGCACCGAGCCCGCCCTGTCTCACCACCACCCAGACCTCCACCAGTAGTGCCCAGTCGGGCCTTGACGTATCGCCCCACGTCCAAGCTAGCCCCTCTCTCCCACTGACCTCCCTTGCAACCTCTCATGCTCCAACACTGCTGCTTTCCCATTCCATATCTCTACAGCAATGGTCCTTGAGACCCCGTTGCTCCGCGTGAGCAGGCCCGTTGCCGCCTGCTCCCGGTGCCGTGCTGCAAAAGTAAAGTGCGACGGCAAGCTGCCCGCCTGCACTGCCTGTGAAAAGTCCAATCGGGCCTCGGAATGCTCAAGCACAAACGACCAGTTTGCCAGGGGCAAGGAGCGCAGCTATGTCGCTACTCTCGAGTCGAGAGTCGAGAAACTGGAGAAGAAGATTCAAGAAGCAAGAGCAAGGAGAAAGTCTTCGGTCATCATCATGCAAGACACGTCCGAGGACTCCACCCCACGCAGGTCTTCCACCGACACCCTAAAGGCAACCAAGCCCGTCAGCCAACGTGCTGCTCGACAGAGAGAGGCTTCCGAGATTGACGATCTAGTATCTGACTTTGGCCTTCTGTGAGTGCTGCCCATGGAGATCCCCATGCAAAGCTGCTGCTGACTCCCCAACCAGCGCCGTCAATGCCACTGCAAGAGACTTTTATGGCTTCACCACGGAAATGTCGTATGCTCGCCTGATCAGATCTGCCAGCACAAAAGAGCCTCTATCAGGCGACTTGATCAAGCCGCTTCCTCCAAGGTTCGCAGCCACTCCACTCATTCAACACTATCTCAACAATGTCTTTACCCTTTGGCCCATATTTGAAGAGGCCGCCCTCTATTCGTCCGTCGAGGCCGTCTATCAGCAGGGAAACAATTCCACTCCATGGGACCGATGGTGTGTCCGCATGGTCCTAGCCATTGCCTGCCTCTCCCAATCAGAATCCAGGGGAGATAAGCATTACACAGATGCAGTGGGACACATGATTGCTGCACTCGAAAATGCCGAAGATGTTCTCCATCCGGGATACATTGCTAGCATTCAAGCTCTGGTTCTCTGGACCATATACGCCACAATGGACCCTCACCACTTTGATAGCTGGACACTCATAGGCGCGGCTTCCAGAGCAATGGTCGACCTTGGTATCCACCAGGACCCCTCCAAGAACGTAGCCATATCCCGTACAAAACTAGAACTACGGCGACGGGTATATTGGTGTCTGTACTCGTTAGACAGGTAAGCGTGCACACGACCAGCCTTACATCCTTCATGCTGACTTGCATGCAGATCTACTTCACTTGTCCAAACGCGCGCCTTCTCCTTCTCAGACGAAGCAGCAAACGTAGCTTTCCCCTTTTACAGCACGCCCATGTCGCCAAAATACTCGTCTCCCCAGTCGCACCTCTTCCAGCAATCCTTCGACATTGCCATTGATCTATTCAAGATTCGCGAAATCCAGTCAGAGTGGTACATGGACCTGTTCCAGTCCGGACGCGAGCCCTGGCCAGACCCTTACCAATACATCTGGAAGCAGTACAACAGGATGGCCGACTGGTTCCAAGATATGCCGCAGAGTACATTGCCGGCAGTCAAGTCTTTCTTCGAACTGGAGTTGCTCTACAGCTATGTCTACATTTTATCGCCTAACCCGCGTATACCCCATATCCACGAATATGCCCAGCGCCTAATCTTTGAGCATTGCACCGCCTACGCAACCAACCTCCTCGCTGTCTTGGACAAGCCCTCCCACACTGTCAAGCCACCAGTGACATACTACGATGCCATGCGGGCATACATGACCGGTCGCCAATTCGTCGACGTTCTATCCCGAAATCTCGAGGTCATCCTCGATGCGAGACCGGCAGTACCTCCTGCACCGGCAGCGGGTACACAAGTGGAGTCGGAAGATCCCCTCGCCCCACCCACGCAGGTCAATGCACCCCCCTTCCCTAGTCCCTCTCCGGCAGAAGGACAGTCGCTGCCCTTAGATCCGACTACCCGAGCCATCAATGCGCTCAACGATTACACAACACTACTCTCTAGGTTCGGACTAAGGTTCGGTTTCATACACTGGCGCGACCGATTCCAACGCGAATCAGCGTCTCTTTCAGCACAGCTTCATCAGCGCAGTCAGGCAACGCCAACGACTTATTCCCCGCAATGGGGATCAATGCCATCTTTGTCGCCGCAACCACCGCAGTTGATGTACTCCAATCTGCCAGCGACGCCGCCCAGTCTCTTTCCTCAGCAGTCAAGTCCATATACTAGCTCACTTTCATACAACAACTCGTATGATGGCTCTGTGCAAAGTCCGCAGCAGCATGGTATGACATACGATGCCAGCCCAAGCCAACAGACATGGGCGACCCCATCTCCTCAGCCAGTGCCTGAGCTTCCACAACCCTCGGGCGGCCAGACGAGAAGGGCAATGGTCTACGGACCCGGTATTCCAGTAAATACAAACCGAGGCCGTAGTCCTGCGGCATCCTCGTCACCGGCGCATGACACGAGCAATGGCTGGGTTCAACAAGACCAGCAACACTCAGACCCCAATAGTTACTTCCAAGTACCATCTATGCCGCAACAAAGCAGCGGCTCCTGGGGCCAGAGCTCACCCGACAACTGGAGCTAAATCGCATAAGACCATTGGGGCGAGGGTATCCAGTAGAAAAAAAACTATCTAGACTAGCCGACTGCCCTTTGTATAGAGCTTCTGCCGACGCAGCATGCATGCGCCTGCCATTTTCGCCGATCAAGACCGGCGCTTTCCACATGTAACTGGCTGGACAGTTCGGCTGTATGGCTAGCGTCTTGCTCGTGCAATTAGTGGGGAAAACGGGAGCGAAGTATGCTATCAGGAGAAGGAGCGGAGATGACCGCAATGGAATGAGAAAAAAAACTCCCCGCATGCTGGGCGCTTTGTAATGACCCTGGTAATTTCGCGGGTGTGGACGATGATTTTAGTACGATTGCGTACACATACATGTGCGTGCCGCAATAGGGGGTCCCGGACTAAAGTCTGGGACGTGTCCGGCGAGTGTCACACAGAAGTGTATGCCGCAAGAAGTGACGGAGCGGCACCACACGAATAGACGATTTGACGGCATATGACGTGCACGACATATCAGCAATCGATACTGTTTTCCACATTTCCCTTTTTGGAATATATGTTTCTATCTTTAATGCCGAACTACGGGAGCCAACTAGCATGAGATGCGATGTTTGCCACGTGGTATATCTCACAAGTCATTAACATGTGATGGAGGGTTGCATAATACTAGGTTTATAACAGTGACTAGTAGCTATGGGGATACCGGGCATTAGAGCAAACGCCCATGCTACCAACCAGGAGCGAGATATTTTTTTTTGCCTTGCAGCTTGCATGTGTTGTCGTGTTCAAAGAAGATCGACAGGGACCAAAATGACATCCCCCCCACTTGAACAAAATCGCGGGGCACATGCACACACAACCCCACCCCGCGCCGCTATCTCTACGCAGCTTCCCATTGAACGAATCCCACTGCTGATAACATGGCTTACTACATTCCCGTGTGCATATTTCGATATTATACACTAGTCAGCTCTTTACTCCTAACTGAACCTCCTTGACCTCCCCTTTCTCGTTGAAAAAATTGTAACGAAGTAACCGCAATGTCGACGCCCTACGACCGCGCCCTCAGCGCCATCGACGCCGCACACGCCCTCGACCCCAACAAAATCGAGCTCAACGGCATCACAACGCCTTACGAACTCCACTACGCCCAAAAATGCACCGCCTACCTCTCCCAGCGCGCCCCAAACGCATCAGAAACCCTGCGCCTCGCCATCCGCGCCCAGCACTTCCGCCGCTGGGAAGTGCCTCGGTCCTCGTACCCGCAAACCCGGCCCGGGTACCATGCCTGGCGCACCTTTCTCAAAAAACGGCAGGCCGAGCTCGTTACGCAGATCTGTCTCGAGGCCGGGTACAGCCAGGCTGATGCTGAGCGTGTGGGCGCGCTGATACGCAAAGAAGACCTAAAGGAAGATGAGGAAACGCAGGTGTTGGAGGATGTGGCGTGTCTTGTTTTTCTAGACGATCAGTTTGACGCGTTTGAGCGGGAGCATGATGAGGAGAAGATTATTGGGATACTGAGGAAGACATGGGGCAAGATGAGCGAGAGGGGGCATGAGTTGGCGTTGGGGATGGACATGCCCGGGAGGAGGGGGGAGGTGCTTAAGAAGGCTTTGGGGGAGACGTAGGATGGGAACGGTGTAAGATGGGAAGGTAGATTTAGGGGTTATATTGATTTAGAGGGGGGGTTATGTGGATATCATTTTAAGCCGAGAGAAATAGTACTACTGTATTATACGGGGTTTAAAGCTGATTAGGCTCCGCCTTCGCGCTTTGCGTATTCCTCTTCAATCGCTTCTTCGTAGCGTCGCTCTGCTTCTTTTTCCTCCTCGGTCTTTTGGGTTTGGGTGGCGCTGGCTACGCTTTGTGTTGATGGGTTTTCCACGTTTTGCGCTGTCTCTGCCGTAGTAGAGGAGGTGGTTTGTTGCGTTGAGGGCATGGGAACAGGCATTATGATCGATTGATTTAGTGGATGTTGTATAGTTGTTTTGTTGGTGATTTAAGTGATGATGAGGTAAAGGTTGTGTGTCGAAGAGAATGATGAGTGGGAGATGTGGATGTGAAAGGTGCCTATATAGACAGGTTGCGCAACGTCATTGTGGCGGTGCAAGTGTGGCTGGAAGCTTCTTCATGGCCGTGATTCGCCACCCCTGTTCTGGACTTCTGTGCTGTGGCGATTAGGTTGTGACTTGGCACAGTGTGCTGCAAGCTTGCATGTGCCTATGTGAGCTGCTGATTAGTGGAGTTGTTGAAGGGAATTGTAGATGTACGGATCTCAACGGATATGCTAATGATACTACCATGCAGATGCTGCGTTGAGGAAGTTGCGCTATTTAAGGTTTAGATAACTATTGTAAATTTGCCGGCGTGCTACTTGCTGTTATTACACGCCCGGGTATAAGACAAGTGCAACGTTCTCAAAGACAACACAGGAACATTCTGTGATCTGGCAGTTTGAGAAATAGATGCAAGGTCTTTGTGTCTGTAATATGGAAAACAGGGCTAAGTACTAACACTGCGGCAAAATTCAGATTCCATCAATTTCTCGATATCGATGCACTTGTATTCATATTCCAAGGTTTTGGCATTAAGATCAACTTCCCAACTCTAGGCCTCCCGCCTGCCGCTTCCAAGATAAACGAATAAACGAGCGACAATATACATGCAGCATTGTCCATTGAAAGGATCGTTAGCGCTTATACATGATGCATGGGTAGTGCAGAGCTTTTCCAGTTACGACACCTGCAACTAGCATCTAACGGGCTGTTCGCCCTGAGATGCCCCGTTATGCAATGCAAGGCTAACCATCCACTCTCGCTTCAGGCTGTATGCCCGGATGTCCAAGTCCGTCTGAAATTTTTCTTATGTGTGAATAAAAACACTGGCTCGCGTCTTTGTATTCCGTCTCAATTTTTCTATCAATTGTTACGCATAACAAGTGCCTCCACGTCACGATGCGGTTATTTCATGCTCTTGCCTCTTGCCAGCTGCTAGCAACAGGTCTTGTGGCTGCTGTTCCCCTCGATTCACAGCCGGCTTCGACTATCAACATAGATCCGACTGTTGAACCCCTCGAAGCTCTTGCTCAACTGCAGCAGCACGCCTATGAAACGCTTAGACAGCGTGAGAGTGTCTCCAAAAGAGATTCGACAGGCTGCTCTTTGGCCACTGCAACCATACGAAAAGGCTGGCAAGTCCTCCATATACAATTGTTTTCATTCATTAACTTCAAAAAGGGAATATATAAGCAAGAAGGACCGGAAAGCATACATCGAAGCTGTACAGTGTCTTCGACGATTGCCACCTAGGTCTGACCCGTCCTGGGCTCCAGCAGCAAAGAATCGCTTCGATGATTTCGTCGCCATCCATGTGAACCAAACCTTGTTCATACATGGAAATGGCCCCTTCCTTACCTGGCATCGCTACTTTGTATGGGCTTACGAACAAGCTCTTCGAAACGAGTGCGGTTATAAAGGCTATCAACCCGTGAGTCTTAATCTCTCAACTGCCTGCAAGTTCCGCATTCTAACCCATAGCCCATCCGCTAGTACTGGGACTGGTTTGCACATGCGGATAACATCTACGAGTCCCCCGTTTTTGACGGGAGTGACACCAGTTTGGGTGGTGACGGCGAATTTTTTGCACACAACGGAAGCCTTGCTGGCGGTCGACTGATACCAATTCCCTCTGGACTAGGAGGTGGATGTGTCAAGAGCGGTCCTTTCAAAAAGTAATGCTACATCTTGATACGGAAAATTTAAAATAACTAACATATTTGCAGTACGCAAGCGAATATTGGACCCATCTCACCTGGTATGCAAGGCCTCACTGACCTGGCGACTGGTATTACCGACTACAATCCCCGCTGCTTGCGCCGAGATCTCAGTCCCTACATACCTAAGAAATGGTTCACTACAAAAAATCTACTAAATGTAACCATTGGTGCAGGATCCGTAACGCATCCCATTTTCTGGCAGGAAATCCAGGGTCGGTATACAGACGGGTTCTTAGGGTTGCACGCCTCAGGACATTACACTATGGGCGGAGACGCAACAGATCTCTATTCCTCTGTCAACGACCCTGCCTTTTTCCTCCATCACACGATGCTTGACCGCATTTATTGGATCTGGCAGGTGCTTCACCCGGCTGAGGCAAACAAAGTGGCTGGTACCTTGACGCTGCAGAACAAGCCCCCAACGCGCAACGCTACCATTGATGAGCCATTGGAGATGGGAATCAACGGTGAGACGTTGAAGATTCGGGATATGTTCGATACGCTAGGTGGCACTCCTCTATGCTACATCTACCTTTGAGTAGGATCGGCTGAAAGCTTGGATCTTTTGGTCATGTACATAGTATGTTCGTGTGGGAGGGATGGCTCGTTTCAATCATTGTTTGCTTTCGCACCGTCTCGTCTAATGTGCCAAGACATGCAACAAGGACTAGGGCCTTGACACTAATTGCGTGGTATATATATATTCCATTATAGTCCTGTATCAGCCGTTGGCTATGTAAGACTTTGGCCGTAGGCCGTTCTATCTAGTTTTTATTTACAATTTGGAGGTTTCTGCTATAAAGTGTAGCTAGGGTGCTTCGGCCTTTATCTAGCTAAGCTATTACTAGCTTTCTAGATGCCTGGTGCTAAAGAGCAGTTTGGCAATAGGGAGAGATGTAGGGCGGCTAAGCTGCCTTCCAGCGAGCTCTCTTAGGGGATAGGAAATAGTACTAATAAAAGCAAACGTGTTTTTCTTTTTTTTCTTTATTTTTTTTCTTTTTCTTTCTTTCTTGCTGTTTCTTTCTTGTTTTTGTTCCTTCTAGCCCTCCTGGCCTAGGTGCCACTTTCTTGTTCCTATCTTCGTGCTAGTAATAAAAGCTAGAGTAGCTTCTATACCGCTCGTAGTATGGAGTAAGAGTGGGAGTTTAAGTACTTTTTGGTTTAGAGTCTTTTTAAGCTGGTTTCTTTCTGCGCTATAAAAGCCGCAGTATAGAAGTAGATGCTCTGCTGTTTGTGGTCTCCCACATTGGCATAGATCTGTTTCTCTTCTATTTACTCTCTTTAGGTAGGAGTTAAGGTATCCGTGTCCTATCTTAAGAGAGTAGAAAGAGCTTGAAATCTCTCTTTTCGTGCCTCTAGGGATTGCTAGTTGGTTTTTAAGCCTTAGCGTAAAGATAGCTCCGTAGCTAGTCTTCTTTTCTCTTACTTTTTCCCTATATACTTTCCACTCTTCTGCTTGGCTAGCTCGTTGGAGGAGTTTAATTTTTGTGCCTAGGAAGGCTAGGCTTGTTTGTGATTTTTTTGGTGTTTGTTTTGTAGCTTCCTTTGCTAAGGAGTCTGCTTTTTCGTTTCCTTCTATATCTGTGTGGCCAGGAGCCCATTTTAAGAAGATCT